TTGCGATACCCTATTATTGTTATAGGAAATGAGTTTCCAAATGAGTCTTTATTACTTTCATATAAAGTTGTGCTCAAAATATTAGCTCATTTCTAGGAATTAAATGATTTTTAAAAAAGGAAAAATATTTTAAAATAAAATACTCTGAATGTCATAAATACTTGTTTCGCTGTACCACTCGATACTAATTACTTTCAAGGCTTTTAAGGCTTGGAAATTGTATTCTTGCTCTCCGTATGTCTTACAATTCAAAGGTTTACATTACTGTATAAATTATTTTATAAATATAATCCTGTTTCTCATTAATTGTCTCTTCTCTCTCTTTTTCAGTGCCAGTGGCTTACAAGTTTAGGTAAAAACAGTTTACAGTTATAACAGCAAAGTATTATAAATATACTGTAAGTTAGTTATCCTTTCCCGTAGTATTTAATTTGAAGGTCAATTTATTTTATCCCAAACTTAGAAAAAACTTATTTTCTTTACAAAGTCTTTTGTAATCTATTAATAAAAAGGATTTCTATTCATATCAATGAATAATTGTATTTTTTATTGAAAATCTTTGTTATTACAAAAAAAATTTCTAATGAAACAATAAATTATAAGAATCAATAAAATGAAATACATTTCGTATGAATTGAATTGAAATTTGTTTCTCTATGAGATTCAAGTGCTTTTTTGCTCTACATTTTGAATGTAATAGAAATTTAACCAAAAAAATCTTAATTCAATCTATAAATTCACTTTATTTCAAATATAAAAGCAATTTTCTGCTCAAGAATTAATAAAAAGAAATTCTCGAAACAGAAAATCAAATATTTATGTCATTAGGTTTGAAATGTTGACACATTTATAAAGGAGTTATCAGTTTGTTGAAGCAATCAATGTGTTTATCACAAGTAATCTCCAATTTTCGGTTCAGTTTTCTATTTATATGATTATTAAATGATTATTAAATAAAGAGAGAGAGAGAGAGAGAGAGAGAAACACTTCATTAGAATCGCTTGATTTGCTTTTTATATCTATATATTTATTTTCAAACGACAGTAATTGTTATATTGAATTGAAATACAAATTAATTTCTGTGAATATTAAACACTCTAATAGGGAGTGAAAACAGGTATATATTTTGAAAGAAATATATTTTCATTACCACTGAAAACATGTCAACAAAGACCAAGATTTCATTCAATCAAAGAAGGTTTAAAAATATACTGAAATGATAGACAGACTCGTAAACAATGAATTGATTAATGAATAAATAGTTAGGGGGTGACGGGTCTAAACAAGATGCCTGTCCTTCGATACAGTCTATGGCTTTAGTAACTGATTCTCGGTTTGCAATTCACATGAACTCAACAAAAATAACTCATTATTATTCGATAATTAAACCAAAAAACAACAATAAAAGCTAAATTCAAACACAAATTTTCCTGTTAGAGCCAATTGTGAAGTCATAATACGAGTTGGATATGTAATATAGTATTTTAACAAAATGACAACAATTATAATGTCTTAAATTATAAGCCTTTTTAGCGATCTTTACAAACAGTTATAAACAGTTTTACGGATCGGTTGTGAAGCACCTGTATGTGGGGATGGCTTCAAATTCTCAGCCAATTTATTACTTCTTATTAATGATTGTCTTTAAGATAAAGACGTTTTTGAGACAAAAATTAGAGCATTTTATTGTTATTTTATTCTCATATAACAAATGTATTGTAAAACTGAGTAAAATGTGTATTGAATGCGAGCATAAAAGCGGAAATAATGGAAATACCAAAGAAAACACTGAAAATTTTGATTCAATAAAAAAGTTTTTGTGAATTCGTAAATATTGATTGAAGCGAAACGTTTGTTATAAACACAATACGTGAATACAAAGTAAAATACAAAATGACAAAGCTATTGACAAACAATATTTTGCATAAATTCGCAAAGTATTGTATTTCAGAAATTGTGTAAAATATAGCCTAAATGTCACCTCAAATGAATCGTTTATAAGTTTTGCAATAAAAATAAAAATCGTTTTTCATTTTATTTATTCTTTTCTTAAACAATATTTTAGTTTACATTTTATGATTATTTTATCATTTTTTAAAAGAGAGTTGAATAGAGTAGTCGAGGGATGAGAGGACAGTGAGTACTAAAAAAATATTAAATTAATACATTTGTAGGTTCACCTGAAATAACTGTATCATAGCATCAATAATAAAAAGTCAATCCATTAGTGAATATTCTTAATGGAAATTCAGTACATTTTTACTGTATCTGTAATTAAATAAGTTTATAATGTTTTATATTATGTATACGTTTACTGTATTGTATTATGGACTTCAATATTGCATGACTTCGCCTACAGTTCTCTCTCTCAATGATTGCAAAATAAGTCAATTTAAATCAATTTGATTTAAATTTGTATGTTTCGTGTAATTTATTTGAAAATATAATGAATGAGAGACAGAATGCGCTGCAAATAAAAGATGTGTTTTTCAATTACAAGAGCGACAGAAATATTCTCAACGGAATTGATTTGACTGTTCCTAAAGGCATGTATTCATTGAAATAATGTTTATATAATTTATTTGTGACTAAAACTCAGGGGGTATTTACGGTCTGTTGGGATCTTCCGGTTGCGGAAAAACAACGCTTTTGAGATGTGCTTTGGGGAGACTCCGACCCAAAAGTGGCTCCATTTCCCTGTTCGGACACATTCCGGGAACGGCTTTAAGTCGAGTGCCCGGACCTGGTGTAGGATATATGCCCCAGGAGTTGGCCCTTTACGATGACTTCAGTATTGAAGAAACTCTCGTATATTTTGGTCGACTCTTTGGCATCAAATCGAGAGTCATTGACTCGAGGATTGAGTTTATGGTAGATTTGCTTCAATTGCCAAATCGTCGCAAATTAATCGTTGAGTTGAGTGGCGGACAGAAGAGACGGGTCTCATTAGCCACAGGTATTTGATACATGTTTTATATTTTCAAATAATTGAGTAAAAATATTTATTAAACTTAATTTGTGGCTATATTTGTAGCTCTCCTCCACAATCCTCCTCTTCTAATATTAGATGAGCCGACAGTAGGCGTTGATCTGATTCTTCGGGAGACCATTTGGAAACATTTGGAGAATCTCTGCAAAACCGGATTGACTGTCATTTTAACGACTCATTACATCGAAGAAGCTAGAAATGCGGCCAAAGTTGGGTTCATGCGATCCGGAAGAATACTGGCTGAAGACTCACCCCATCATCTCCTAAGACGACATCAATTGATGACTTTAGAGGAAGTGTTTCTCAAATTATCGCAATTAGACGATCAAACTAAAGTGCACCATATGTTGACTTATAATAGAAAATCAATTCCCAATGAAATCATAGAAACAAAAAATCGAGAGTCATTGACTCGAGGATTGAGTTTATGGTAGATTTGCTTCAATTGCCAAATCGTCGCAAATTAATCGTTGAGTTGAGTGGCGGACAGAAGAGACGGGTCTCATTAGCCACAGGTATTTAATACATGTTTTATATTTTCAAATAATTGAGTAAAAATATTTATTAAACTTAATTTGTGGCTATATTTGCAGCTCTCCTCCACAATCCTCCTCTTCTAATATTAGATGAGCCGACAGTAGGCGTTGATCTGATCCTTCGGGAGACAATTTGGAAACATTTGGAGAATCTCTGCAAAACCGGATTGACTGTCATTTTAACGACTCATTACATCGAAGAAGCGAGAAATGCGGCCAAAGTTGGGTTCATGCGATCCGGAAGAATACTGGCTGAAGACTCACCCCATCATCTCCTGAGACGACATCAATTGATGACTTTAGAGGAAGTGTTTCTCAAATTATCGCAATTAGACGATCAAACTAAAGTGCACCATATGTTGACTTATAATAGAAAATCAATTCCCAATGAAATCATAGAAACAA